GAAAATGTTTCTAAATCTTGCAGTACAAATCTAGTTAGCTTGTGCATGCTAATTAAGACAAATATTACAACACCAAGAGCAGTGAAAAACATTTTACTTAATTAACCATTTACTTCCTACTGGTATAGAGTATCACACGCCATACAAATACTAGTAAGCGCAAATAAGGTTCGTTTTTAGTTTCACTTGTGTTGTCGTCATAATGGAAGTGTTTTCTATGTTGTTCATTGTACTAGCGGTTAAAATGATTATAATAATAATACATTTTATTTAAAAGCACAATGTTGGAGTATGGTCGGCACTAGATCATATACAGAATCGGGACGAAACCAGAAGTTAAAATCCTGCTTTCGAATTAGTTTTAGACTAAAAAGTCCTTAAGTGGTGACTGGTTAAGTTTTAGGCGTCTGAGTAAGATGGTTAAGGTTAGGGTTAAGTAGCCTGGCTCTGCCAGACCCTTGTAGTTCCGCCATGCTCCACCAGAGGCGTTTGGCTGAACCACATGGGTCTGGTATCGAGCCCATAGCGAATGCCTTCCCCAAGTTATTTTTTAATCGACCAATCAGGATTGCCGGTGTTACGTGGGGTTAGCACTGCCTTCTCAAGCTTCTCTCATGCAGCAGCGAGAGGAATCTAAGATGGCGGACGTAAAGTCCGCAAATCTTTTTAAAAGAATAAATACGATCGAATTAAGACACAGATGTCACTTTTAATGCAATTTGAGGCGAGATGTTGATGGTTCTATTGTTGATATATGTGTGTTTTAAGAGTCAAATGTTCCTGTAAAGTTTGGTTGAAGCACTGGTTCAGTGTTCCTGTTTACACACTATGCAGCAGGGTTGCCAGGTTCGGTGGTTCCCGCATATTTTTTTCCAAGAGACTTGTAGGTATTAAATAAACAGAAAGACAATAAACAGAATCATGATAGCCCAAGTTGATTACATAACGTTTTTAGCCGAAAAATCATTCTGAGTGTTTTTTTTTTTTTTTGGGTATTCTTGCGGATTTTGGGTTGGAAAATCTTGCTGGGGTTGTGGCAACCTATGGGAGCCGTGTGCTTCGATGTGAGTGGTTGAAAGCAGACTTCATTCAAGATAACGGACAAGTGATCTATCCAATCACATACAAGGATTTTTTTTACAAGGCCCTGCCTTCTGAAATCCAACCACTGTGGCTCAGTACCAGACTCATGTGTGAAGTGCAGCGAACTACATGGGTCTGGCGAGAGTCAGGCTAAGGGTTAAGGTGGTCTGAGTAAGATGGTTAAGGTTAGGGTTAAGGTGGTCTGAGTAAGATGGTTAAGGTTAGGGTTAAGGTGGTCTGAGTAAGATGGTTAAGGTTAGGGTTAAGGTGGTCTGAGTAAGATGGTTAAGGTTAGGGTTAAGGTGGTCTGAGTAAGATGGTTAAGGTTAGGGTTAAGGTGGTCTGAGTAAGATGGTTAAGGTTAGGGTCAAGGTGGTCTGAGTAAGGTGGTTAAGGTTAGGGTTAAGGTGGTCTGAGTAAGATGGTTAAGGTTAGGGTTAAGGTGGTCTGAGTAAGATGGTTAAGGTTAGGGTTAAGGTGGTCTGAGTAAGATGGTTAAGGTTAGGGTTAAGGTGGTCTGAGTAAGATGGTTTAGGTTAGGGTTAAGGTGGTCTGAGTAAGGTGGTTTAGGTTAGGGTTAAGGTGGTCTGAGTGAGATGGTTAAGGTTAGGGTTAAGGTGGTCTGAGTGAGATGGTTAAGGTTAGGGTTAAGGTGGTCTGAGTAAGATGGTTAAGGTTAGGGTTAAGGTGGTCTGAGTAAGATGGTTAAGGTTAGGGTTAAGGTGGTCTGAGTAAGATGGTTAAGGTTAGGGTTAAGGTGGTCTGAGTAAGGTGGTTAAGGTTAGGGTTAAGGTGGTCTGAGTAAGATGGTTTAGGTTAGGGTTAAGGTGGTCTGAGTAAGATGGTTTAGGTTAGGGTTAAGGTGGTCTGAGTAAGGTGGTTTAGGTTAGGGTTAAGGTGGTCTGAGTGAGATGGTTAAGGTTAGGGTTAAGGTGGTCTGAGTAAGATGGTTAAGGTTAGGGTTAAGGTGGTCTGAGTAAGATGGTTAAGGTTAGGGTTAAGGTGGTCTGAGTAAGATGGTTAAGGTTAGGGTTAAGGTGGTCTGAGTAAGATGGTTAAGGTTAGGGTTAAGGTGGTCTGAGTAAGGTGGTTAAGGTTAGGGTTAAGGTGGTCTGAGTAAGATGGTTTAGGTTAGGGTTAAGGTGGTCTGAGTAAGGTGGTTTAGGTTAGGGTTAAGGTGGTCTGAGTAAGATGGTTAAGGGTAGGGTTAAGGTGGTCTGAGTAAGGTGGTTTAGGTTAGGGTTAAGGTGGTCTGAGTAAGATGGTTAAGGTTAGGGTTAAGGTGGTCTGAGTAAGGTGGTTAAGGTTAGGGTTAAGGTGGGTTGGGGTTATTTTATGGGATTGGCTGGTTAAGTTTAGGCATGAATAGGTAGAATTACACACAAAAATTGGCGAAACAGCGAGGCTACGAAAGGTGTTCACTTTGGAAAGACCCAAGAGGAAAATGCAGTTAGAAGTTTATTGATTGAGTATGTTTGGCGCCCTAGGCCCGGGAGAGATGCTGATGAGCGCGGTGCTTGCTCGCGCGCATAATCCCCCCCGGGGCCTAAGCACTGGTGGCGGTAGAGGCAGCAGGCGAGCACGCTTCGAAGAGAGAAGGAGGAGGTGGGGCGGCGGAGGCTTTGCTGGCTTCGGAAGGCCGGTGAAGTGGGCGTCTCCGGCTTTTAACTTGCTGTCCTGGTGGTTATTGGTGGATTGGATGTGGGCGTTTTGCTGGTGTAATGAGTTGAGGATGAGCAGGCTTGTAGATCTGGCAGCAGTGGCCGGGTCTACCACAGTGAACTTTCGCGAAGAGCTTCATAACCGTGTTATAGCAGCGAGGGACCACTGTATCTATATTTTTTACGTGTCCTCAGTTGCTGATCTTTTTAGATTTTACGTATCTTTTGCAGCAAACTATAAGTTATTTTGTTAAACCTGACCAAATTTATTTCCTAAAATTTACCAATACAATTCACAGCATGATGCCAGAGCTGGGTAAACTTCAAACAAAGAACTACTGACATCCTACTGGTTTTTTATGTCACTCAGACATAAAATTAGCGTCGGCCATTTGTCCTGTCAGCTTGTTCCGGCTTGAGGCGTGTTGTTGTCATTACAGCTTTTCTATCATGTTATAAGATCTTTAAAACAGTCAGAGGTTGTGTTGTAGTAACTTGTAATCATCTTTTATGGCAGAATACCACTCCATTAAGATCTAAGACCTGATGGTACGGATCCAGTTAGCCGAATGCACGCTAGTTTAGTTATTATTGAGACGTCTGTATTCCCAAAGTCGCCGTAACCGACATCAAACAGCGAGTGGCTTTTGCTTTATTGACTTTTCATGTTCTTTGGGGCTGAATATCACTGGAGCGTGGAATGGGTTTAGAGGAAAAGTGGGCGACGCGAATCCGGTTAGCTTGTTTGGGAATGTTGCAGTCATTACGGAGCGCCGCTGACCTCTGAGGGCCCGTAATCAGCCGCAGCTGCTCCACACTGTACAGGTTCAACACATCTGAAATACAGCCCAGAATTAAAGCTTCATTGTGTAACTTTTCTCTTGGGAAATCCCTGTCTCTGTGTGTTTTTATGAAAAGGCCACATGTTGTGAACGGCGTACATTAGGGGTTGTAATTCCCACTGGCAGCAGCAGATGGCAGTGGTAGCTCAGTTTGGTTGTTTAGTTCCAATAAAAATTTTGATCATGCATAACATCATTTTGATTTTGACATGATGAGAAACTATTATCATTTGTCATGTTAGTACGTGTTCTCACATTGTAATAGGGGTTAGGCAGTATGTTTTGACTTCTGCCCAAACCCCTTTCTGTCAGGCATTGTTCCGCACGTGGTCCTTAAAGGACACATTTTGGTTCTATTTTTTCTTGTTGTAAATCGTATATGTGATCTCTGAAAACGTGTGACCTGAGATCTGGTGTACATATTGGCCGAAGAAAATAAACTACTATCTAAAATAAATTACTAATTCATTGTATTTTTGTATAGCCCTTACTCACAACAGGAGTTAACTCAGAGGACGTTCAAACCAGTGGGGGCGGGTCCCGGCTCAAAAGTGGCCAAAATGACGTGCGCTGACATGCTGCAATACCACCCCGGGCCTGTGGGGGTGGACCCAGAAGAAGAATTAGCCAATGCTAACATATAGCATTAGCAGACCTCTCAAACGTCTTTACAGGATGGACCAAAAGTTGGCTCTTGGCCCAAAGCTCCGGTCCACATGTGTGTCAATGCTGAGGGGGTGTTTTGGTCCAGTCTAGTTTACTTGCTGTGAATTTTTGAAGTCTCTCGTTTAAATGAATGGAGTTGCGCCGGCTGACGCATGCGCAGATGTGTTTTTTCACAATTTTCTTGTGGCCGGGACCACTTGCGGCCATTTTGGATTGCTCCAGTAGAGCACCTTTTTTGGCCCATTAGTTAGAACGGCGGAGATAGGCTCCAAAAATGCAATAATAAAAACACATAAGGGACAGAGACTAATGTCCATAAATGTTGATAAAGTTTGTAAATGTCTGGTGTTGTGGAACATCCCATGGCGGCCCTCTGAGTCATTTTATACGGTCCTTTGTCTTGCTAACCCAAACGTAGTCTTAAAGATCATGAAGACAAGTTCCCAGTGTAATCCAGACATGTTGTACCTGGTTGGGAAGTTCAAATTCTCTGGAATCTGTTGACTTTGTTGACTAAACATACATTTGTTTTTGACTGTATGGAACTAATTTATCTGGTGAGTAAACCTTTGTTATTCAGCCAACTTCAGCTCTGCCAAAGATGAACTAATATAGACATTGCATACTTCAGCCTTAATCCAGTTAACCCATGTTGTCGGCCCCTGGGCATTTTTGATGAAAAAGTAATGGCATCAATTTGAGTACAGACATTAGTCATACTTGACACAAATCTGGTCTTTATGGACGAATGAAAGAAACACTGTCAGTGGAAATCCTGTTTGACGTTTACAAAGGTCATATGGGGCATGACTTCAGTGAACAGTATTATGTTATCTGAATAGGGTATTGGTGCTTAAACCCACATGGACCAGGGCCATGGATCTACAATAATAACTGGATAGGGTATTACTAGCTTATAGCTGTCCCACCCATGGGCCCAGGGGGCGCTGTGGTACTGCAGACTAAATTCACGGCTACTCAGAAAAAAGTCCCATAGAATTCAATGTAAACTAAAACAGCTCGACCTCAGCTGACAGAGAACCTGACAGAGAACCTACAGCTTTCATAAATCCTAACACCAGTGTGAGGGAGGGGCTGCTTTTCTTCAGCAGGGCAGGGAAAGGTGTCTCAGTTGATGGAAGGTTGATCATCAAAACAGTAAACACAAACACGAAGCCAGAGCTACAGTGATTGGAGCAAAAGGAGGTCCTCAAACTGCTGCTGCATTATTTTACTTTCACTTTCACAGTTGTTTGTAACTGTATTGTAGTATTTCATAATAAAACAAAACAAAGTAATACATTTGTTGGTGCCGACTTTCCAGAAGTATTAAAACGTCTGCGTCCCTCTGTAACTCTGTTTAAAAAAATGCAAATATAGTCTTCTTTCTCCGGCTTCCTTCGCTCTGTCTCTTCGGCCCAGAACAACCCGGCGTTCTCCAAACACCTTTAGTTAATCATCATGAACTTATAAATGCTGCGGTTCTCCCTCTCGGCTTTGACAGGAGCCGTAGATCAGTGCCCGGAGCTGAAGCAGAGTAACTCCCTCTGACAGCGCTCGGACCAGAGTGAGCCTGAGTCGGGGCTCTCTAACTCTGTGTGTGTGGGGGCTGCATGAGGCGGAGTCTGGGTGAAGCCGGGGTGCATTATGGGTTATGTTTGTCATGTGTTTGTGTGTGTGTAAACATGTATGAACATTGGAGCAAACAGATCTATGCACCTGCAGGGATAGAATCAAACCGTTAAAATTGCACACGCTATTTTACTTTGCACACGCAGTCACAATAATCCGCTTTGATTTTAAAACGGTGCATCTTGTCATTCTTGAACATTAACAGCAGAGAAAGTAAATATTTGGGCTCGAAGAATTCAGACAAAAGCAGGAAAACCAAAAATCAGATGTTTGTGGAAAGTTAGTATGTCTGTTTTCTATCACTTTTTTAAAATCCTTAACGTGTTTCGACCAAATAATAACTTTTAATTGACTATGAGTCTGATATAGTTTTCATATATTTTTCTGAAAAAGTCTTGAAATTAAAATAAATAATGAGCAATTAGTTTGTTGCATTGTAAGGCAAGGCAAGGCACGTTTATTTGTATAGCACAATTCATACACAAGGCAATTCAAAGTGCTGAACAAAACAAGAAAGCATTGAAATCATAAATAATCACAGAACATTAAAAAGAAAGATAAAAATATAAAATCCCTCAGTTGTATGCACAGCTAAACAGAACTGTCTTTAACCTGGTTTTAAACATTGTCAGAGAGGAGGCCTGTCTCACATCTTCAGGAAGACTGTTCCAGATTTTAGCAGCATGAATCTGAAAAGCAGCCTCCCCATGTTTAGTTCTGACTCTGGGCACTAACAGGAGTCCAGTCCCTGTGCTCCTCAGAGTCCGGGCTGGTTCATATGGGACTAACATGTCACTAATATATTTTGGTGCGAGGCCATGGAGAGACTTGTACACAAGCAGAGCTGTTTTAAAGTCTATTCTCTGAGCCACAGGAAGCCAGTGCAGGGACCTGAGGACTGGACTAATGTGGTCGTACCGGGTTTAATATCGTCTTCTTTGAATTATTGCTTGTTGTATTCAGGGTCCAATGTCAAATAAGTGCATGCAGATGTATAACATGCCATAGTGACACGGACAATTCCTCAGAGTTCCATTGGTCTGAACGAGAGCAGTCAAAATGCTCTGGATGTCCTAGCCCTGACCCCGCTCTCCCCACGGAGCTCCAAACTCACAGCGGGACTGGAAGCACAGACACAGGCCTCGGTGCCAGGAGTGAGTGGAGGCAGAAGCCGAGAGCGGGAGAACGACGGAGAAGGAAAGTGCGCAAGTGAATGAAGTCATTTCACAGGGGAGATTCTAATGGACCTTAAAGAAGACGTACTGTGCTCCTGTCCCTATGCAGCTCCACAGCGCCCCCTGTGGCTCATTATACATTATGTGTCCACTGTTACTTCACTTTACTCTGTGCTAGAATATTTTGATAATGTCACAATAGAACCACAGCTGTTTGTCCAGTTGCTATGCTAAAGTTTGAGATCTTATTTTAGTTTATTATGGAGTTATTGTTCACTTATCTAATGCTGTGTGCGCAGACCACACACTAAGTTAGCAATAAGCAGCAGTAGAAGTAGAAGTAGCAGTTGTAGTAATAGTATTGGCAGTAGTAGCAGTTGCAGTATTAGCAGTAGCAGCAGTATTAGCAGTAGTAGCAGAAGTATTAGCAGCAGTTGCAGTATTTGCAGTTGTAGCAGTAGTAGCAGTAGTATTAGCAGTAGTAGCAGTAGTATCAGCAATAGTAGCAGTAGTAGCAGTAGTATTAGCAGTAGTAGCAGTAGTAGCAGTAGTATTAGCAATAGTAGCAGTAGTAGCAGTAGTATTAGCAGTAGTAGCAGTAGTATCAGCAATAGTAGCAGTAGTAGCAGTAGTATTAGCAGTAGCAGTCGTAGCAGTCGTATTAGCAGTAGCAGTAGTAGCAGTAGTATTAGCAGTAGTAGCAGTAGTAGTATCACACAGAGCTTCATTGTAAACCTTTAGTCCAAACCTGCTGCTGATTTCCTCAGGGTCCTGGGGGTCCCGTTACCCCTGCCGCTGTCACCCCCAATTAGCACGTTAGCGTTAGCATCTGCCGCTACACAAGCGAAAGGGAAGCCAAGAACAACAGAGGGAGGTCCAGGGGATCAGATGTCAACACTGCGACCCGCTGGAGTACGGGCGACGTCATCAGAACCAGCAGAGGAACCCAAACCATGTGCCAACACTGATTCTATTGTGGAATAATTGACAATATACTTTAGGTTGAAGCCAGAGCCGGTGGTTACCTGGCTTTATTGTTTCCATCCCTCAATGCCTTATAACGAATGTAGGAGCAAAGATAGAAATCCAACATTATTATAGACCATGGGTGATCTTGGCCCCGGGATGATTTCTGACTTCCGCCCTTTTCCCCTTTAAAGGAACCTTAAACATAAGGATTGGGCTTCATCAAGATGGTTAGCATTGTCCATCTGTTAGCATCGTCCATCTGTTAGCATCGTCCATCTGTTAGCATCGTCCATCTGTTAGCATCGTCCATCTGTTAGCATCGTCCATCTGTTAGCATCATCCATCTGTTAGCATCATCCATCTGTTAGCATTGTCCATCTGTTAGCATCGTCCATCTGTTAGCATCGTCCATCTGTTAGCATCGTCCATCTGTTAGCATCGTCCATCTGTTAGCATCATCCATCTGTTAGCATCGTCCATCTGTTAGCATCGTCCATCTGTTAGCATTATCCATCTGTTAGCATTATCCATCTGTTAGCATTGTCCATCTGTTAGCATCGTCCATCTGTTAGCATCGTCCATCTGTTAGCATTATCCATCTGTTAGCATCGTCCATCTGTTAGCATTATCCATCTGTTAGCATCGTCCATCTGTTAGCATCGTCCATCTGTTAGCATTATCCATCTGTTAGCATCGTCCATCTGTTAGCATTATCCATCTGTTAGCATTATCCATCTGTTAGCATCGTCCATCTGTTAGCATTATCCATCTGTTAGCATCGTCCATCTGTTAGCATCGTCCATCTGTTAGCATTATCCATTATCCATCTGTTAGCATTATCCATCTGTTAGCATCGTCCATCTGTTAGCATCGTCCATCTGTTAGCATTATCCATCTGTTAGCATCGTCCATCTGTTAGCATTATCCATCTGTTAGCATTATCCATCTGTTAGCATCGTCCATCTGTATACAGTCTATACAGGAAACATGTTTATTTGACAATGAATGGTTTCACACAACCACTAACAACGAGTGAGGAAAGTCCAAACTAAATCCCAGCCGAGGTGTTCTGAAGAGTTCTGAACTTCCAGAAAAAAACGACTGAATCTCATTTACAAAGTGAGAAAAACGGTGTGAAGTCTGTTTCTCCAAGTGTCCGGGACGTTCCACACATTTCCCAAAGTCAGAGAGAGAGGCAGAAGTTTAGAAGTTCAGAAGCGTTTATGATCCACAAGTCTGTAAAAACACCTCGTCTGGCTTCACACTCTTTCAGAAAACACACATCACGAAGGAGAAACCTATTTTTAGCCATTTTTAGTGGACGAGCTGAGGACATTGCAAAGACGGTAATGGTTGAAATCCTTTGCAGACTGTTCAAACTCAAACAAACGACAAAAAATATGTTGTGTTTTGTGTTTGTGTATTAACGGCTTATTAACCGAGTGCGAGGTCTGTGTGAAGAAATATCAGACCGAGCCTTAATGTACAGACCGAGCCTTAAAGACCTTATGACGGGTTTAAAAAAAAAAAATAGTGGATATCAAAATTGCATGACAATGTCAATTTGAAAGAGATTCCGGCAAAAAAAATCCTATATTTTATAAAAAGAACGTGTTTTTCATGAATTTAAGTTGTCTATGCTCTAACCTGTGTGTGACGTCACAGCGGGTTACGCCCATGCATTGAAAACCATGGATCTATGCCACAGGACTGCCTTTTCTCTCTTCTCTCCACTGATGCCCAACACAATACTGCCCTCTACAGGTGACAATTGCTCACTACACATACATTGCCGTTTTGAGTGTGAAAAAGTGCCCGAGGAGGGATTTGAACCCAAGTATCTGGATTGACAGTCCATCAACACAACCACTGAACTATCTCACTGACAACGAAATATGACCATCTAGTAGTTATTTGAGACTCGGTGTACACGGCCTTGTCATCTTGAATATCCGCGAAAAAAGAACGAATACCAAATTGTAAACAACTTACAGCGTTGAAACGTACCCGTTCTGACGTCACCAAGGGCTGTGAAGTTTTTTCGTTTCTAAGGGCGTTGCTATGGGGTTTTTTCGATTTGGGGGGATCAGACAAAAAAAACAACAACTGATTTTGAAACCTTTAGTAGTTCTCTTCTAATATAAAATGGTATTAAAACTGTATTTCTAAATAAATCAAACCCGTCATAAGGTCTTTAATGCACAGACCGAGCCTTAATGCACAGACCGAGCCTTAATGCACAGACCGAGCCTTAATGTACAGACCGAGCCTTAATGTACAGACCGAGCCTTAATGTACAGACCGAGCCTTAACGTACAGACCGAGCCTTAATGTACAGACCGAGCCTTAATGTACAGACCGAGCCTTAATGTACAGACCGAGCCTTAATGTACAGACCGAGCCTTAATGCACAGACCGAGCCGTGGCGAGGTTAATAAATGTGTTATTATATGACTCTGGTCTGTGTCTTTACCAATGCTTTTGAGATATTTGTGAAGTATGTTCATGTCCGACTTGGTTTTGTGTGATACGCGCTGCGGACCAATTGTCATGGTAACGGTCCGAGGAAATATATCAAATGTGATACACGCTGTTTGGACCAATTGCCATGGTAACGGTCTGAGATGGGAAAATATCAGAGCGGTAATCAGCCAATCAGAGCGCGCGTACGGTCAAAGTCATATAATAAAGTACAGTACAGAATAAACCCAAGTTCTTCACAAGCCCAAAACAATATAATTTTAATTTCAAAACATATGAAACATTGTTATGGAAAAAAAATCAGTAGAAAAAGCTAAAAAAAGTCATATGCAAAACTAAATAAGAGCCTTTTCAACTTGGACATAAACATTTCCAGGTCTTTCTTACCAGCTCAGGGAGAGTGTTCCAGATTTTGGCCGTTTAGTTTTTGTAACTTTTGTTCACTTTGGGCTGCGAGCTGATTGGCTGAGTGAGGGTGGTCATCTCTTGGTCACTTTTCTGCCTGAAAAAGCTGATCTAATGCAAAAAAAAATACATTCATGTGAAAACTAGTTAACTGTTTTTTCACAAATTCTGGAAGTTACGTACCCCAGCTTTAACTGTCTACCTTTATATGGGTGTAAGGAGTAGTGCGTTTTTTTGATTAACCCACGCCATTTTGTGCTTGTTTCATTTCCAAATCTGCTTTACAACAGTCAAAGTCTGAGCCCAAACTGTCAGAAAGGGACTTATGAGACAAAAAATCATGTGTTTTCTGAAGAGATGAAAATAGCAGGATGTGGTCGGATTCGATTCTTTCTGTTGGACGAACGACGTGTGTTTTTTATGAGGCTAAAGTTACGTACCTCAGCTTTAATCATGAGTCTTGTGTTTGTAAATGTTCTGACTGGAGCTTTCTCTCGTTTCTACAGGTCACAGAAAACATCGTCTCCAAACAAACTTTTATCGGTAAGACTCATACTCAATACAGTGGTGTGTAAGGAGAGAGACCAGAGAAAGACCAGGTTCTGGAACAGAGAAAGACCAGGTTCTGGGCGAGAGAAAAACCAGGTTGTGGACCAGAGAAAGACCAGATTCTGAACCAGAGAAATACCAGGTTCTGGACCAGAGAAAGACCACGGTCCTCTCCAGGTCCTGGTCTCGGTCCTGTCCTGATGCAGAGGTCCTGGTGTGAGACTGACAAAAAGCCGGTGCAGTGTCTGCAGTGATGCGGTGACTGTATCAGACTGTGAAGAGGGAGCAGCGTCTGCCGTCAGAGCTCTGGACTCTCTGTAACTCTCTCTCTCTCTCTCTCTGCAGAAGCTCGGACGATGCCCCGAACGTTTAACTCCACAGGATCAAAGTTTGTGACGTCATCGCAGCGACCGTCAGCCCACCTCACACTGAGAGACCCCAGTGCGACAGGTGAGACCAAAACCAGGACTGAGACCAGAACTGACACCAGGACCAGGACTGAGACCAGGACCAGAACTGAGACCAAGATCAGAGCCAAAACAAGACCTGACAACGGCGACAATCATCCCCTCACACTGAGAGACCCCAGTGCGACAGGTGAGACAAAGACCAGGACGAGGACTGAGACCAGACCAAGACCAAAGCAAGACTAATTGCAGAGACCATCAGCCCACCTCACACTGAGAGACCCCAGTACTACAAGCAAGACTAAGACCAGGACTGGGACCAAGACCAGACCAAGACAAAGTCCCAGACCAGACCAGACCCCTTGTCCTCCTCCAGGCCTCTCTCTCCTGATAAGAGCCTTGTGTTGGGTTCTTCTGATCCTGGATCCAAACGCCTCATTCTTCAGCTCAGAGCAGGGAGTGACTGACTCACCACAGCTCGTCATCAGTCTCAGACCTGCTGCTGTTTTTACCTCCATCCACGCTCAAGGACAGAGCTGCCTTTTAAAGCTGGGGTACTTAACTTTAACCACATAAATACCACAAACAATTTTTCCAATCTTAAAGAATCTTGTAAAAGTAAAAACACATATAGTGTAGTACAGACCTGGGTAAAGTGCGGCCCGAGAGCCACATGCGGCCCGATTTACTGTTCTGTGTGGCCCTCAGACCTTTCCCCGACATTTATCTGTCCATAATACTGAGATTCTTTAGCTTTGAAGTCTTAATAAAGTAATAATTTCCCCAAAGTTCCTCCCAAACTGTAAACAAAAATGAATCTGCAGATGCAAAAGTAAGTAATATTTATTTATATACCGCCTTTCACAGACCAGAATCTCAAAGCGGTTTACAATTGTTATTTTTGGGCATTTGTCACTCCACACAGAGATGGGAGCGGGGCCAGTACAGGAGACGCATGCCAGACCTATTGTGCATGTTTTTAATGGTAGGGGAAACAGGAGGAAACCTACGCAGACACAGGGAGAACATGCAAACTCCACTCAGAAAGGCACTGTTGCCTGAAGACTGAAGAGCTAACACACTTTTGAACATACAACTATGTTTCAAATTAAGTGAAATCGTAGCTACATGAATATGAATACAGTATATAGTGGCCATAGCTGCAGGTGACAGCCAGATCCTGTCCTCCGAAGCTAAGAAGTGCAGGGCCTGGTTAGTTCTGTGATGGGAGACTTCTGGGAACACCAGGTGCCACAGTGGAGCGGCTGTAAAGTGCCAAACTGTGATTGTGTTCTTGGGCAAGACACTTCCCCCACATTAGAATGAGTCTGGTGTCTGTGTGTCTGTGTGTGAATGGTTATTGGTGATGACACGGACTGGTTGCCTCGCTTCTGTCAGTGTGCCCCAGGGCAGATGTGGCTACAGTAGTAGTTTATCACCATTGTCTATGTCAGGGGTGCTCAATACGTCGATCGCGATCTACCAGTCGATCGCAAAGGTAGTATTGGTAGATCGCATTAAATAAATGAAAAAATTACACATTCTAAACGAATATATACAAAAAACTCCGGGCAAAGTGGAGATTTTTGAAAACTCCGTTAATGCATTTGTGTGTAGACAGAGATAACCGGAGTTTTGCGTTCTCGCACGCCACAGTACCCCCTTAAATTCTTCTGATCACTGAAGCATGGATCATACGACCTTAAAAATTGTCCGCTGTGAGATGCTCGCAGCAGCAAACATCCTCGCTCCACATCAGAGAGCAGCAAAGTGATCGCGGGGACTCACGCTCGAAAACAACCAAACCAGGACTAAACCAGGACTAAACCAGGACTAAACCAGGACTAAATCAGGGCTGAGGACGGGGTCAGTGCTTGTAAACATACGTCTTTAGTCTTCTATGACTGTAAAAGTGCCGTTACCGGCATCTGCATCAAAGCTCCGCCCACTTCTGTGTTTTTCCCCAACGCAGGACAGGACGTAAGAGACGCACATGTTTGGAATGTTACGAATGTGATTGATAACGCAGATGTGTGGATGCAAATTATTTTATAAACTGAGGAGGGGAAATATTTGGATTTAAAAAAAACCAGGCATGGCACATGGACATGGCACCACAGTAAAATTACATCTGTGTTTTACTCAGTAATGTTTTACTGACACTTAGGTGACTGCACATGCGCAAACAACCGCGCTCAGTGCAGGAAAGCTAAACCACGACAAACTTGTCAGCGAGTTACCACCAATTTTCCGGACTATGCATCCCTGGCCGATTCAATTCAGTGCAAGTCATCAGAGTAAACTCGGGTAATGACAAAAAATGTACATAGGTAATTGTGTTGTGTTGTGCTAAATTGGCTCATGCGGTTTTGCATGTACATAAACATACATTGTAGGTATAACGAATATTTTTTGAAATAAATATATGATTTGCATTTTTGTAGTAGGTAGATCATTTTGACTTGATCCTTTTATAAGTAGCTCGCATGCTGAAAAAGTGTGAGCACCCCTGGTCTATGTAGTGTCGAAGCTCCACTATATACTGATTTTACTACGGAGAAAAGACGTGCCCATCCCTGATATAGAAACTGGTGATAGAAGAAAACTGTTTCAGATCCAGGAACTAGTGGCTTGGATTTTATTACAGAAGTTCCATTGATGTGGTTTGAAATGTACATACGCCAGCTTTAAAATGGCAAATATCGGATCAAGCAATGGCTCTTGAATGCGGTGACTGGTTCAAATCTGTCAAACTCGTCTTTTTTTTTGTTTTCTTCCATTTTTCTCAAAGCAGCTTTTGTTAAACCGAGAGTCCAACACGTCTCATCTTTCTTGATTTAACGTTTGCCAAAGTTTCTGCAACTAAACAAAGACGTGATTGAGAGCAGGCCCACGAACGCCTGAACCTTCGCCATCGAGCTGGAGGTTCACGAGATGCAGCCGATAAATGCAGAGCTGTCGATTCGCCAACACAGATCAGAAATTATGTCTGTTTTGTTTTCAAACTCGTCACACTATGATGAACCCTCAGACTATGGTATCGTTGACCGAGGTGTTCTGCCTTAATACACCTTTCAATTTCCATGTATTTTTGTATAGCCCTAAATCGCAACAATAGTTCAATCTGGAGAGACTCGAACAGAACATGGGTTACACTTGTTTATTGGTTGACAGTAATTTGACTCAACATAAATCACACATATGACACTGAGGACAATATTTTCAAGATTACATTTATCGTACAGTACAGAATGTAGTTAGAATTTGGCCTTAGACCCCGGCAAAGCACTGCATGAATTCAGAAAGAGATTATGAGATGAAAGCTCCCTAGACCCTGGCAGAGGTAGCTAGAAGAAGGACGAAAGATCTGGTTAGAGGCGGAGATGGGGAGGAGGAGGGTTGCTGCATGAATGACGCTGCTGCTTGGATGGAGCTTCTGCGCGTTATGAAGCTGATGCGGTGAGGATTTGCGTGTGACGATGAGGACTTTGAGCGCTGGGAGCTTAGTTCTTCTGTCTTCCAGTCTGAATTTCCGCTTGACTTTACAAAGCTGTCGATTCGCCGACACAGATCAGAGAATCAAACCGTTCAAACACAGTGAATATACGATGATAAAAAAAACACATAGAGCCATTGGTCCATAAGGGACTGAAACCAGTGTCCATAAATGTCGTTGAATGTCGAGTGTCTTTGTCCTTAGACCCTCCTGAAATAGGTTTTGATATGATATGATATGCGTATGTTTTATAGCCCCGCCCCTCTGTGATAGCTCCGCCCCTGTGCCCTATAGCGTCGTCTCTTGTGTGGTTTCCATGGGGACTACTGTATGATCTGTTTTGTGTCAATGTTTGGAATCAGCTCGAGTCAAAGCAGAAGGACGTTATGTTCCTGAAAATGAGAGAAATTGCAACAGTGTGAAGCCTGGACTGCGTCAGGCGTCAGCACCAACTCCATCCACAAAGAGTTTGGCAAAGTGACTTGTACTTTTGAAAGGAACAATAATGCAACACAAAGGACCGTGGAAATAAGATGGTAGATGAATGCATTTGGATCCAGATCTACAGTATCATCACCGACCAGAGTCATTTCAGTTCTGCAGCAATTTTGTAAGTTCTTCAGAAATAAAATGGACTAAAGGAAAACAGGTGAATTTGGGAAAATGTGAAAATATTCCATTGTTGAAGATCAATAGAACAAGTCTCTTTGATCGCTCTCTCTCTGGTCTCTCTCTGATCTATCTTGGTCTATCTGGTCTCTTTCTAGTCTCTCTCTGGTCTCTCTCTGGTCTCTCTCTGGTCTCTCTCTGGACTTTCTCTGGTCAATCTTTGTCTATCTGATCTCTCTCTCTCTGGTCTCTCTTGGTTTATCTGGACTCTCTCTCTCTCTCTGGTCTCTATCTGGTGTCTCTCTTGTCACTCTCTGGTCTCTCTCTGGTCTCTCTCTGGTCTCTCTCTGGTCTCTCTAGTCTCTCTCTGGTCTCTCTCTGGTCTCTCTCTGGTCTCTCTAGTCTCTCTCTGGTCTCTCTCTGGTCGCTCTCTGGTCTCTCTAGTCTCTCTCTGGTCTCTCTCTGGTCTCTCTCTGGTCTCTCTCTGGTCTCTCTCTGGTCTCTCTCTGGTCTCTCTCTGGTCTCTCTAGTCTCTCTCTGGTCTCCCTCTGGTCTCCCTCTGGTCTCTCTGGTCTCCCTCTGGTCTCTCTCTGGTCTCTCTAGTCTCTCTCTGGTCTCTCTAGTCTCTCTCTGGTCTCTCTAGTCTCTCTCTGGTCTCCCTCTGGTCTCTCTGGCTCATATGCCCCAAATACCTACAGTTCTAATATCAACATGGCTTTCCGCTGTGCTCTTAAACCCATCTGTTGGCCTTGTCTCAGTAGGATCCGGTTTGCTCCTGTCGTCATGGTAACAGTTGTTGTTGTTTACACAGGTTTCCCCCTGTACCCGGTCCAGAACCCGGCCCTGCACCAGTCCTGTCGTCATGTGGTCCGGTCCTGGGCCAATCAGAGCTTTGGGTCCCACCTCCACAACATGAGTCTGACCAATGGGAAGCTCCGAGTGCCTCAGAACGGGCGCTACTATCTGTACTCCCAGGTACTACTTTACAATACTATCTGTACTCCCAGGTACTACTTTACAATACTATCTGTACTCCCAGGTACTACTTTACAATACTATCTGTACTCCCAGGTACTACTTTACAATACTATCTGTACTCCCAGGTACTACTTTACAATACTATCTGTACTCCCAGGTACTACTTTACAATACTATATGTACTCCCAGGTACTACTTTGCGATACTATCTGTTCTCCCAGGTACTACTTTATATTAGTACTTTATACTTTCTACTGTGGCATTTCAGATGTATGCTGGTAAAAGACTAATAATGTTAATAATACACGCTCAAGATACTTATACTCTGTGTACTTCGAATGCTCATACTCTGTGTACTCTATCACTTCAGATACTCATACTCTGTGTACTTCAGGTGTACTTCAGATACCCGTCTCCAGCCTCTGAGTCGGAGCAGCGCAGCGTGAGTCACCAACTGGTCCAATGTGTTTACAAGAAGACCTCCTACCCCAATCCCATACAGGTACTACTACTACTACTACTACTACTACAGCTACTACTACTACTACTACTACTGCTACTACTATTACAACTACTACTACTACTTCTGTACTATCAATCAATCAATCAAATTTTATTTATAAAGCGCTTTTCATACAAAAGATGCAACACAAAGTGCTTTACAGTTTGGTTAAAAACAATCCCGCCGACCCAAGACCCCTCCCCCAGACCACCCAACAGACCCCCCCCAAACCACAGACAAACACACACACGCGCTCATGAACACTCATACACACACACACACACACACACACACACACACCAGTAAAACAATAAAACCATGATGAGAGACTTGGCAGGGTTCAGATGCAACCAGCTGAAAAAGCGTCATCCTAGGAGCCGTCTGCACCAGGAGCAGAGAGCCGCCTGTAGCCACAGGGGACGACACAGGACCCAGAGGAGACATGAAACCGAGGCCCCAGGCCCCCACCAGGCCCAAGAGTCCGACCCCCGCAGCCACACCGACCACTGCTCCCAGTGCAGAGGGCTCCTCCAGAGGAGCTACCACTACTACTACTACTAGCACTACTGCCACCACCGCTACTACTGCTACCACAACTACTGCTTCTACTACTACTACTACTATTCCTGCTGCTATTACCACTGCCCCAACTGCTGCTAATCTCTTGTGTCCAAACCTGACTCTTCTGTTGTTATTCCTCAGTTGTTAAAAGGCGTCGGGACCAAATGCTGGGCTCCGGACGCAGAGTACGCGCTGCACTCGGTCTATCAGGGCGGTCTGTTCGAGCTTCGCGCCGGAGACGAGATCTTCGTCTCCGTGTCGTCTCCGAACATGATCAACGCCGACGACACTTCCTCCAGCTACTTCGGCGCCTTCCGGTTGGATTTATAAACGTGCGGATGGAGAAACAGAACTCTCTGAGGGGACCGTAGCCGCGCTGGTGTTGGCTGGACCCATTCTGTACAAAGACTATTGTTATTGTTTTGGGGAGATTTTTTGAGACTTTGAAAATGGAGGAAACACTGAACGATTTTGAGCAGATTCACAGATTTTTACCTTTTTTTTAACCTTTTTTAATTCACATTTTTAACCGTTTCACGCCGCAAAAACGTGTTCCGAAATGTTTTGAAATGACTTGAATTCTGGATATTCTTCATAACTTCAGTAGTATTGAAGTTACCGTATTATCGGGTGTTTGAGGTTGACTGGACCAGACTTGAGCCACATCCGGCCCGGTTTACATTTCCTTTCGGCCTTTGGACCCTTCCCAGACGGTAACCTCACATTGGGCTGCTCCCATGGCCTTTTATGCATTTAATCTGTTCTCATTAATGAAGCCAAAATGTTATTAGTAATAATTTCAGGTAGCTTTTTGCTAAATGAAATAAAAAAATTAACCAAATGAAACCCCCCCTGCTCTGGACGAAAGCCTAATAACCAGAGAATTAAGGCAGAAATTTTGTCCAATTGACCCTTGAATTATTCATTTACAAAGACAAAGACCGAAGCTGAAGGATTTGACCTTTGATGCATGTTTTTAGTGGTAGGGGGAACCGGAGCACCCAGAGGAAACCTAAGCAGACAAAAGCCCTATTTCGACTGGGATTCGAACCCAGGACCTTCTGACTGAGAAGCGAGAGGACTAATCACTCTGCCACATTTATCAATACAACTCACATTTTTATTTTGTAATACTGGCCGTAAATATGAACAAAAGTATCCATCCCTCTCAAAAGTATCTGTCCCTCTCAAAAGTATTTGTCCCTCTCAAAAGTATCCATCCCTCTCAAAAGTATCTGTCCCTCTCAAAAGTATCTGTCTCTCTCAAAAGTATCCATCCCTCTCAAAAGTATCTGTCTCTCTCAAAAGTATCCATCCCTCTCAAAAGTATCTGTCCCTCTCAAAAGTATCTGTCCCTCTCAAAAGTATCCATCCCTCTCAAAAGTATCCATCCCTCTCAAAAGTATCTGTCCCTCTCAAAAGTATCTGTCTCTCTCAAAAGTATCCATCCCTCTCAAAAGTATCTGTCCCTCTCAAAATTATCTGTCCCTCTCAAAAGTATCTGTCCCTCTCAAAAGTATCTGTCCCTCTCAAAAACCCAAAGTCTGAAGAAAAACTGGATTTCAAGTCATTTTAAAAGATTAGAAATGTCGTTTTTGCAGCGAGCTCTTGTGCAATCGCCATGGAAACCTGTGACCGTTTTAACCGATTTTATCGAAGGAATCCATCTTTTTCTGGACTTTTTCACCGTTTAATGAAAAGTAAATCTTTGCTGCTTTGATTTTGCGGTTTTTGCCTTTTTCTCGAGCACAACTTTGCCGTGATGCGGACTTCAGAATGTGAGGACAATGTGACGGACTCGCGGCGGAAAGCGAAACCAAAAAACGTGAAAAGACGAGGATTTTGGAAAAAAGTGTTTTGAAAAATGTGTGTGTTTTTTTTTTTGCGGACGAGACCACTTTGTACAAACGACGGAGGTGGAGCGAGATTATGAACTGGAGTTGGTGAAAACACGAGACGAGTCAAAAGAGGAGGACTTCAGTTGGCTCAAAAATAACACGTTTTAAAGCTGGGGTTCGTAACATTCAGACCACATCAATCGATCTCTGTCTCAGCCAATCAGCTCTCAGCTCCAAAAATCCAGATTAATCACGTTTTTTCTAAACTCGGACTCCCACAATTATGGAACGACTAGAACTGCCAGAGCCGTCATTTTGACTGCTCTCATTCAAACTATAGAAATCTAAGATATTACCCAAAAATAATAGTTTTTTGACAGATTTATTAAAAGTAAGTCATTTATAAGGTTTTGTTTTACCTTTACTCACTTTTACTAAGTGCTAAAACCGGTGATTATGACTTGAAATACAGCAAAAAGCAGTTGACGTTGAAGCTACCAAAATGCTAACTGCTAGCAAGTATACAGTATGTTGCTATGGTAACTAGTGGTACTGGCTCTACTCTGGGAGGCAAAGGTAGAACTACTCTCATTTCAACACCGTACATCAGCTGAGTAATTACAGTTGTTGTCTGATTTATTTGGAGAACTCTTTCAATGATAAAAAGTTGCGTGCAAAACATGTAGGTTTTTTTTCACATTTTAGTCAGTGCTGCTCAGTGCGGATGAATACACACGTCAAATCTGTACTTTTCATGACACAGAACTGTGTTTCAGTATTAGCAGTAGACAGATACTTTATTGATCCTGGTAGTAGGTCACAGCTGCAGTCTGCTTGATTTTCCCTGCTCTGGTTCAGAGTGAAATTCTGAAAGCTTTTTTGTCATTTAAAACATATATATACAGCCATCCTCCAGTGGATTTCTGCTCGATCTGCTCTGGTCTGGATCAGTGTAAAACCATGAACACTGTACTGCACTAACATTAACAGCGAGAAAAAAAATCTGAAAAATAATTATTGAAAAACACAAAACTGTTTCAGATATATTTAAAATTCCCCAAACGACCATATTTTTCTCATATCTCTTCTGTCTCCCGCCCAACATCCTGCATGTGTTTGATGCTGTCACCACTTAAAGACCTTATGCCGGGTTTTTAAAACAAAAATTGTGGATATCAAAATTGCATGACAATGTCAATCTGAAAGAGATTCCGGCAAAAAAAAATCCTATATTTTATAAAAAGAACGTGTTTTTCATGAATTTAAGTTGTCTATGCTCTAACCTGTGTGTGACGTCACAGCGGGTAACGCCCATGCATTGAAAACCATGGATCTATTCCACAGGAATGCCTTTTCTCTCTTCTCTCCACTGATGCCCAACACAATACTGCACTCTACAGGTGACAATTGCTCATTACACATAAATTGCCGTTTGAGAGTGAAAAAGTGTCTGAGGTGGGATTTGAACCCCAGTTTCTGTATTGGTTGTCCATCGACACAACCACTGGACTATCTCAGTGCTGACTAAGAGTTATAATCTAGTAGTTATCTCATACTCGCTGTACATGGCCTTGTCATCTTGAATATCCGCAAAAAAAGAACAAATACCAAATTGTAAACAACTTACAGCGTTGAAACGTACCCGTTCTGACGTCACCAAGGGCTGTGAAGTTTTTTCGTTTCTAAGGGCGTTGCTATGGGGTTATTTTGATTTGGGGGGATCAGACAAAAAAAAACAACAACTGGTTTTGAAACCTTTAGTAGTTCTCTTCTAATATAAAATGGTATTAAAACTGTATTTCTAAATAAATCAAACCCGTCATAAGGTCTTTAAAGACTCCTTACACTACATATTATAGATACAGAAAAAAAGTAATTACCATTTTAAGAATTAATTACACTTAAAGCCGTCAAATTGACTGCTCTGGGGGTTCCAATGTTTAAGCTGGGGTCTGTAACCTTCTCACCACAACACCGGAACTCTGTAATTCAATTCAATGTATTCTTGTATAGCCCTAAATCACAACAGTAGTTATTTCATAGTATTAAAATGTCACTAGTTTTCATTCACATATTTAAAGCAGAGTTTTTAGGCAGAAAAGTGAAAGTATAGACTCCTTAAATAATTGTGAATTATATTGGCCAGATTTGCTTCCAAGCGCAGAATTGTTGCTTCTTGGCCGATAGCAACAAAGACACCCAGCGAGATCCAGCTTTACTTCTAATGAACACATTGCAGAACTCAAGCTGCGAAACCAAGATCGATCATGAATTGTGACAACAATAGACAGTCGGATAAAACCAAAATGCCTTAAAGGAGACATATTAGGCAAAATATCTCTCATTATATCTTTACGATCTTCTGAAACAAACAATGTAACTCTACCCATTCTGTCCAGTCTCAGTCATGAAGTGGAGTGATCATTAAAGGTGTAGTCAAATATGCCAGAGCAGTTTTCTGCTTTCTTTCAAAACAAATGTATTCTCCTTTAAATTATTCTGGCTATTTCTCTGTGTGAATGCATGTTTTTTTACAATAACATGGCAGATGATTTTTCAAATGTATATATACTATTATTTTTTGAAATGAGACATCTCATCCACCTTTTTGGTCTGTGTAAAGGTAAAGGTACTAAGTCCATTCCAAATAATGCTAACTGCATGATTTGCTCCCTCATTTGAAGATTTCAGATTGAAAGAGAGCCAATATTAAAACACATGATATTGTCTTGTAATAGTCCAGTGTTTGTGAACAAATTTAAAACACTATACGCAGCGTCATCTTGTAAAGTAAAAACGGTAATGTGACAGAGGACCATAAATACATGGAAAACTGGTGATTGTTTGACTTTGTTTCTTTGTTTACAGTCTGATGCATAATACATCAATTTTTGTCACATAGTTTAATCCTTGGTATGTTTTTTTGGGCAGTAAAAAATATTAACACAATAAATTAAGCTTAACACAATAACACCGTATTTTTGCATTTTATAAATGTCGCTCTACTATATTGGTCCTGGTGTATAAGCACGGTTGGCTAGCTTATTGCACATAATCAATCAATTCTAATCAATTCATTCTTATAATTAAGAACACAGATAGAACTGGTTCATATATTAAAAAAACAAAAACAAAAAAATAATAAAAATAATAATAATAAAGAGACAAAAAAAATATGTATACAGAAATAATAAACGGGCTGTACAGACAGACCTCCATGCCCCATAGGTCAGAGGAAAACTACAGAGCTCCTCCTTGACTGACCAGAGCTTGGATGATCTGGTTATGACAGATTCACGCTCTGCACATAAAAGATTAATACAAATATCTGAGGAGACAACACATGACTCGCACCCACAATTTATCAAACATTATCACTAGGCGCTACAAAACCTGGGCACTTTCACAGAATCCTCAGAGAGTCAATGAGAGCCACATTTAGACTCCGCATACTCTTTTTCTTATATCTACAACCAAGCTGTGCATATACAG